CTTGACTCTTCTATTGCCTCTTGTGAGACCCAGATAGACCAGCTCCGAAGAGAGCTCCATGAGAAAGAGTAGACTTTGAGTATTCTTCAGATGACGAAGATACGGGATCAACAAGCCCATACTGCTTTATCTGAGGAATTGAAATCTTTGAAGCAGAAGCTGACCGAGACGGAGGAGGTTGCTGTGAAGACATTAGCCACCGACGAGGACTCCATCAGAGCTGAGCTAAGGCAAGCTTATGATGAGAAGCTGTCTAAGCTTAATCAGCAGATTTTTGGCCATGCGCTTGATGTATGATTTTATTTGCTGAATGTTTTGACTTTTGATCTTTTTAGTGGAACTGGTTTTTGTCTTTATCTTTATTATGATTCCTCATTCCGTTTGAAATGATTGACCATAATTCTTTTAGGATTTTTGGCAAACTCTCAGCCCTCAACGGGTTTGATAAGCCTTTACCGACTACCGTTTGAGTCGGGCTAGCATGCGGATTATCTAAATCCGTTCCGCATGTAACGTTGTGCTAAGAGAGTAAATTCTCTGAGACTTTGTGCTATGATATTGAATACATAGACTTCGCCATTGTTACGGGAATAGGCTACCCGGCGACACGTGTTAGGTGTTGACTTTAGGATTTTTGGCTAACCCCCAGCCTTTAACGGATTTGATTAGCCTTTACCGACTACCGTTTGAGTCGAGCTAGCATGCGGATTGTCTAAATCCGTTCCGCATGTGACGTTGTGCTAAAGGAATGAACTCCCTTAGACTTGATGCTACAACTTCGAATACGTAGTCTTCGCCATTGTTATGGGAATAGGCTACCCAGCAACGTGTTTTAGACGCTGACTTATCCCTATTTAGGCTTTGGGATAAAATTCCCCAGAATCGAACTCTGGTGTCTTTTTCTTCAGAGAAAGACTAAACCGGCGACGCGTGTTAGGCGTCGGCATATCCTTTCTTAGGATTCAGGATGAAATTCCCCATGCGTGTAAGGCATGGATTCTGGTGTTATTAATAACAACCTGTCACAATGTTGAATATGTGAACGGGTGTTCTTTTTAACGGTTAAGAACTAACCGGCGGCGCGGGTTAAGCGCAGACTTATCCTTGCTTAGGTTTCAGGATAGAATACCCCAGAATCGAACTCTGGTGTCTTTTTCTACGGAAAAAGACTAAACCGACAGCGCGTGTTAGGCGCAGACTTATCCCTGCTTAGGATTCGGGATAAACTTCCTAG